GAGGATCATGGGGTGGATTTTGTACATGCCTACATTGTAATTCGCAAGAGACAATAAAAACACGTTGTTTTTGATGCATTATGTGTCAGTGAGTATATGTTTGTGTGAGTAAAAACTGCATATGATTTATAATAAACGGACACTTTGATCCATTGGAACCAGTGAATTTATCTCCATTGACTGTGATTTGACGTTTATGGGATTCCTTCATTGTGCGTGTCCGGGAAAGAATGGTAGCTAAAAAGTTCTACTCGATGTGGAGGGAAAATAGAGTATACCTCATAATCAAGTAAATAATCGCTGGCATGGATTGCAGTGGAAAGGATTACGTAAGTTAACATATTTCACATCGAAGCTTTTGGCTCTAGACCCGCCGAGTTGGATTCAGAGTTCGCATGACGTGGTCTTATCGGCGACTCCATAGAAACTCGAAAGTGTTAAAATGTGTAGCTCAGTGTATGATCACGCTATTTGGATTCTACAAGCTTTGTCTAAGTCAACGCTAAAATTGGTTTAGAATAGAATAGGTTTTAAGAGGCACAGAAAGAGGTCACATCATTTGAGTTATGATTTTTGACTACTACTAATGTAAAACTGGTTCAGTTGCGTGACGTGCGTGACACAGCAAGATATTTGTTTTCTCTCGTTTGCTCACCCATAGACCCTTTGCAGACTTCTTGCAGAAATGCGGTGGCCAGGGTTCGAGTCCCGCAAAGACAACCTTCAGTATGAAGCAGGTTGATAATTTGAACTAATTCAGCCTTTCGTGCGAGTGCATTGCCAAGACGTCATCTCTGGCATTTATAGATGACAGAGTATCATGATACTCCATTTCGAATTCAAAGTGAATAACCGCTGTTTTATTTGACAGCAGATTCTTCTGGGCAAAGAACTTACCAAACACAAAAGAAAGCACGAGAAAATGTCGTTATTACAATAGCCTTAAAAAATCTGTATTTTCTCCAAATTGAGACTAACCCTAAACAAAGCAAAAAAAAAAACATTATTAAGTTTTATTCTGTACGAACGAATGCTTTTATTTTTACGAAAAACCTCATAAGTCACACTACTCCATTTTCGACTATCATACCATGCGGTCCCTCTCTACGTCACCGTCCACGTGACGGTCACGCAATACACATTTTCGTCACAACATATTCCAATACGAAGTATTCGCTGGATGTCCTACTAAAAATAACTAGACGCTCAACGAGCTTCCTGTGTCATTCTCAAAACCAGATATAATACATACGTAAAGGTAAAACTAAAATCGGTCCAAATAACATCAATATCCAGTGACGATTTCTTCATATTTTAAGTCATTTATATATTTAAGGAGGTTATTGCACAATCTGCACTCGACGAAAAAGGACAATTTCACGGTCACACCAAATGCAATAAAGTGTCATCACAGGAGCAGTTATGTAGATTATGGAAAAAATTTGTGCAAGATGGAAAGATTACACAGGTCAGAGAAAACCCTATCATTCAATATGTAGACAGTCTCACTAGAGTTGCTTTTAAGCAATTATACAAGCAAGTGATCCTTACTAATGGACTATAATTTAGGAAGAATTCAGATGCACCACTTTTTCTGCCTACCCTCGAACTGTAGAAGAATTCAAAAAGCCTTTTAATGACCCCGATTCTTCTGTGAGGCGGAAGGGTTTGGAATTGGTTTCCATTGCGACACATGTCATCCCATGTGCACACAAGGAGAGATGGATAAGAGAGAAGGGAGACCCCAAAGAACATGCCAAACGCTATGTCGCCAGCATTCGTACCTGGAGTAATGCAATGTTGATATCAGGTTGGCGAAACTAGATATTTGCAAAATGACAAGGACAATGAAAATATATCATTCTATAAAGTGGATATGATCTAGGGGCTTTTCCTTTGATATCACATGCATCGGTGCATCGGTGTCTTCGAAAGCAGTCCTATTCGCTTCTTTCAACGTTAAAACTTGTTGCTTGGTGTGTTATGCCTTTGCAAAAATAGGAACATGCCACTGAAAACGTATTCCACTTTGTTGTGGCCGATAGACTTTCGAGGGCTTCGTTATTCTTCGTTTTCAAGTTACGTCACAGCGGCCATCTTGTTGGAGGAACTTTAACAAAGGATTTCTCATTAGTATCTATTGTTCAGTCCTCCAACATGACCGCCGGTCTTTTATCTTTTTAATCGGCATGGGAATGGTTGTCAGGGAGGATTTATTTTGTTTTTGTAGGCTCAGCGACAAGAAAACAAAAGAAACCATGCCGTCGAACCGGGCAAACCCTCTTCATTTAATCAGGTCTCAATCTATACAAGAATCACGGAATACCAGTTGTAATAATGAGAAAGGGACAAAGTCTCTGACACTGAGACATCACAAGTTTATTTGTAATAATGAGAAAGGGACAAAGTCTCTGACACTGAGACATCACAAGTTTATTGCCGTCAATCTGTTTTTGTAACTCTTAGGTCTGTCAGATTCGCG